ATTTAATAAATTAATACTATCTATGCGTTCTATATAAAAATAATTTCGTAAAAAAATTATTTAAAAAGCTTTGATATTGCAAGTCATTTAAATTCTTTTAATAAAATATTAAGTGAATATTGCGATTCTCTATTGCGAGAATCGCAATATTCACTTAATATTAATTTGATTAAAACAAATTTTTTTTTTATTTTTATCTGTTACTTCTTAATTCGATTAAAATAAAATAAAATACATAAATACTATTTTAATAAACTATGTAAGTAGTGAACTTAGGAGTGAACTTAGGAGTCAGGATTATATTATATAATTAATATTGACTAAGAGATTTTTTTTATTTTTAAGCAGGATGCAATTGAAAAGCATAATTTAAATATCTGTTAATATAAAATAACGTCGATGCCATCGCTTTTCGATTTAACTCAAGTACGGTCGCACGTGACGATTATTCCGTATTCGTTGGGAAAATAAGATCGAGGGTAGATTTCATTCTCGGAAGGATGTCCTCGACAGTCCATTTATCTGACTTGACCTAACTAGTATATCCTGAACGAGAATGAAAAAAAAAAGTTTCGAAACTAAACGACTCTCGAGACATTTATAACGCTTTGATAGATCATTGTATTGTATTGCAAATGACATACAAATGCATGTCAATAGTAATCCATGATCTTTTATATTCCTTTTATATTCCTTTCCTTTGCACTTCTATAAATATACTTTTACATAAAATATTCTTGTAATTGAAAAAAAGAGAAACTTAACTTAAAAAAATTTAAATAAAAAAAATTTAATACGTACATAAATATAGTTAAATAATATACTTTTTATTTAATCATAATTTTTATCTTTTAAATAATTTTATCTTAAAGCTTATATTTTTTCAATAAAAAACCTATATAAAAAGTTGAAAAATAATTTTTAAGCTATTTGTTATGTTTAAACAAAGATAATTCAGAAGAAATGATTTTGCTGACATATTTAAAAATTTAATCAGATATAGATTAGAAATAACTTTATTGGGCTAATTCAGAAGAAATGATTTTGCTGACATATTTAAAAATTTAATCAGATATAGATTAGAAATAACTTTATTGGGCTCAAAATAATTATACAGAATAATTAAACATGATAATTATACTGTAAAAATTTTTAATATTCTAGCAATTAAATGAATGTTCCACATAAATATTTTGTCTCAATAAAATTATTTTCAGATGGATCTAACTAAATTTATAGGTATTTCAGCAAAACAGTTTTTTTCGTGGAAATAATACTATGTGATATTGTAAGAATTTGTTTGAAATGTTTGACTCAAAGAATTCAGGACGCATTGTTGAAACTTCTGTTATCTCAAACGCTAGAAAATGTCATGTATATATTTTCATAGTTTGTCCACCATAGTTTCGATCGCGTGATATGCGCGAAATTCTGAATTTTCGCATGCGTAAATATACGATAAATATGTATGTTTCCCAAGATAATATTATACTTTATAATACGTATTTTTTTCGCTCAATAAAATTTTTAAATCGGATAAGAAACCTATAACAGCAAGTTCGACTCGTGAGATCACTGATATGGACTTGTTATCAGGAACTCTGTTAGATTATAAGTATAAATAGATCATAAATTTCTAATTCCCTGCTTATCAAAAACTGTTGTACATCAAAACTCAAGGATATTCATTTAACTTCCGAGAAAACCGGCAGTTTCAAATAAATATTATATATAGAGATATTTAAATGTGTTATTAGACCAAAATAACTTTAGAAAGATTTATTGAAATACATGACATGCACGACAACATTAATTCATATTATTCAAAATTAAATTATTTCAAATAATCCATACGGTTTTTAAATAATACTCAGACATCAATATTTAAACGGCTGTTATAAAATTAATAAACAGGCAAAACGAGAGCCGAGATTGCGGCCTTTGAGATTTATCTCGTTTCGTGGATATTTCAAAGTGGAATTTATTGTTGTTAACCGCGATATTTACGAGCGACGATATTTATTGCTTCCTGACAAGCACTCACAAGCGTTGACGAGCGTCGCTTCCTGGGGATCGCGTTCTCCAGGTTCGCTCGCGAGAAGTCCGATTTATGCCCGCGTGGAATTCGCGGGCAAAGAACGGCATGAATAAAAATCGCGCGGCGTTGAGCCGTCGAGATCAATGCTAGATGAGACGCGCGCATACATACGTGCCTCGAATCTGTTTTTGAGAATATTCGGAATAAAGCCGTGAGCCGTCGACGAGGATTCGCATATTTGATGTTATTTCGCGATGAGCGCGAGCCGCGCGACTTGTCGCGAGCCGCGGACAAGTTACATTCGCGATTCCGTAGAACTACCGCCTGATTGAAATTCATTCGGTGATAAAACTGCGCCAGAGAGGCATGAAATGGTATCACCAGGTATCCATTAAAACCTTATATATTGAATAAAGTTCGCGAACTTGCATGTACGTAAACTCTCAATCCTCAACTTCCAACTCTGAGGTTCAAATCCTCCTAGCAATTATATCTCAACTCTCTCAGTTATTAACTATCAGCCGCGAACTCTCAGCTCTCAAATCTCAATTCAAGGTATAAATAACGTCTATTTTAGGGGAGGAAAGCTTGTGAAGTTTAAAAATGCCTCTCGGTCGAGTGAACGATTTATATGGGCATTTATATGCGTTACATTTTCATTATTATTTACGAATTTGTACATTGTTCATCGTTTTGTTAAAATTCAAATATATTAACGGTATCCAATGCGCAACCTAAAAATGTCTGGATAAATGATGAATAAAATGTACATACGTCAAAATGAATTTGTTGCCTCATTTAAATGTATAAAATATATATGCATAGAAGAAAAATATGTGTGTCACGGATGAAATAACTCGCTTTATGCGATGAAAGATATTTTATATGCATTATTTTCCATAAAGAAGTTTTTTTGATATAAATACACTCGCTTTTGAAATATATTTTGCTACATCTATAATATTACTTTATTCTTGTATATATTAATTAATTTTATTTACAGTT